GTAGGTCAGTCTATGTGAGTCAGTCTATGTGAGTCAGTTCGTTATCAGACTTCCGCTGCATAAATGCTCATCCTATATTGGTTGATCTTTGGTTCTGCCCATACTCATTGAAGTATGTAACACGGACTGAGAACACTGCTGATTTCTGAGTTCTGCCGATGGAATGGATGCCTTGCTGAGATTCCCGCATTCTGCTGAGTCTTCTAAGTCTGTGTGTGTGCGTGCTTGATGACCTGCGTGCCTGTCCGAGTGTGTGGGTGACCCGCAAGGGTACTTGCTTGTTTGGGAGGCCCGTAGGGCCGGTACTTACCTGTGGCCGTGACATCGAGGGTTGCAGCAGGGAAAACACTCAAGTGGCGGAGCAAGAGGTCCGCGGCACTTAGAGCAGCGGAAAAACACTCAAGTAGCAGGTAGGCCGGTACCACACCCAGTAGAAGCAGATGTGCCAGGTACTCGAGGCCGAGCAGAAGAAGACAAAGTTGGCATTTTTAGAGGCCCAGTAGCGGTAGGCTAGGTCTAGGTGGGTACCAGTCCATCCAGTCTGAGTCTAGGGCCTGTACGGGCAATATCAGAGTTTGCAATGATGTTTCCCTCCGAAAGGGAGGAGATACCGGTTGCTTGGGAGGCCGAGCGGCCTGGAAGTCACCGGCCAGGAGGCAAGTAGGCCGCTATATCTGGGGGCTGAGCGAAGAGCCCAGCCTCATTCTTCACTGTGCAAGTTTGGCGACACACTGCTGGAGCTCTGGCTGGAGGAGCGCTGGCTACTACAGCGCTTCTGGGAGGAAGAAGCCCGGGAGCTTCCACCTTGGCTATGGTGGAGCTCTACCGGTCGGCGGAAGGATAAGAGGACCACGGAGGAGAGTGGTGAGATACCCAGCTGGCTATGGTGGACACCATCTTCATCACCTTGTTAGGCGCTGCATCTGGAAGGCCCCAGTTGGGGTAGTGCCACACCAAGGAAGCTCGGGGTAGAGTCAGGCATGGCAACTTAATGAGCAGTGGCATAGCTGTTTTGTGTTGTCCTTTGCACAGGCGGGCAACAACATAGCTGCTTTGGGTTGTCCTTTGCACAGAAGGGTGGAGCCCTCAGCACCATGGCTATGGTGGACCTCATGTTGTGCCTGCAGTAGAAGAGGGACTCAGACATTGATTCTGGTTCAGCCATTCAACGTTATTATTGTTATTTCTTGTTTGAATAAGAGGGGAGGAGATAAGGAGGAGGAGAGTGGTTGGCGAAGAAGAAGAGCATTGTCATTGGTCTATGCTGGAGTACATCATTTTCTTCTTCTTCTTCTTCTTCTTCTTTCCCTCTCTCTCCTCTCAAGTTCATTCATTTCTTTTTGCAATTGGACGGCATTGTACTTTCTGATGAATGTGTACTTCAAAATTGGCCAGGATCGTAACAGAATTGGAATGTTGGCGAAATTTCATGAAAGTGCACTTTTGGCTTGCTGTTTTACAGGTTTTTTTTTATTTTAACTTTTTTTTTTTTTTTTTTTTTTGGTTACAATTAGTTAGTATCGTCTCCAGACTCTCCGCTCTATGAATTGGTGGCAATTTGGGTTAAAATGACCCCTGGGCTTTGTTATAAATGGCATGACAAGTTGTCTGAAATTTTGGGCCTCCGTTAACCTGCTCTCATATTAAGAGATTTTTCTGCTACGCTGTTGACAAAAAAAAAAGAAAGTGAGATTGGATCGTCTTTTCTAAAGTGCCCATATTGTGCCCTCGCTGTGGAGAGGAGGAAGCGACCAGGCCTGTAAGAGGAGGGGATCGTTGCTTTTCTAAGAAGACTGTCTGTGGGTTGATGAGAATGGTTTTGTCTGATAGCCTGTTCTAGCCTGAGGATAGTTCTATGCGTCATCATAATTTCTTAGCTCTGTAGGTGGTTTCATCTTTTCTTTCTTTGTCAAAAAGGAGACAGCCTTGAGATGTCATCATCGAACTGTCGGGCCCTAAGTAATTCAAAATTTGAGTATCTTACTCATCTGCTTCCAGTTGAGTTCGAACTCGACTCTGTATTTCAACAGTTCAGGGGTGTACTAGCTGGGCTAGTTTATCTTAAGAGTCTCTCGTATGAATTTATGTAAGCAAGGCCATTAAGATAGATGACCGCATTTTGTGTAAGGCACGCATCTCACCTTCTGATTCTCCACAATCTCTGCTATACATGTGAGCAGCGGCTTGAGTAAAGACCCATTGCAAACCTCCAAGTATGTGAGAACTACATCAAGACCTATGTTAGCAATTTATTTGCACAGAAGACCACACAGCCATCACAAGCATGATAATCAGTTAAACTGAAAAGGATCAACGTTACTGCAAGTGAATTATTCGATTACCAAATTATGCAGGTACATATCTATCAGCTAAAAGAGCGAACTTTGCGAAACAAATGAAGAAGAGAGCAGACATCATGAGGTGCACGGAAACTGTTCTTTGTCTTTTTCTCTGTCCAAGGAAACGCAAGTCAAAGGGCCTTTGAACTGAGTCTAGGGTCGTGTCTCCCGGTTTGAGTCTGAGTTCTGGGGTCCAAAGTTGCTGTCCAGGACCAGGGATTGTCTTAGATGCCTCTCAGGTCGAACAGACTGGTTTACGTGAACTCAGAAATAGCCCCAGGGTTGTCCTTCGGGACATCTGTTAAAATTGGAACGATACAGAGTGCGCATTAAAATAATAATAATAAAAAAAAAAAAAAAAAAAAAGCCCTGAAATAGCCCCAGGGCTTGGAAAAGCCACCCTAGGCCTGAGGAAAGTCCACAGTCAGGCCCAACCTGGGTACGATAGACCAAGAGTCAAAGATATTCCCAGAGGTCAAACTTGACCACAGATCACACACAATCCAAGGGCTTAGTACAGTTTCCAGAAACTTCTAGACTTGCTGGCCACACAGATCAAGAAAATCTCAGCTGTTCGAGGAGGTAACGTGAGGCAGGCGAAGTCTCAGTTCGGGCATTCATTCTTTCTGGGCAAGCTGATGCTGGAGCTCGCGTGCCGGAGGATATGTCCTTGCGACAGGCAGAAGTACAGAGATAGGCGAGGCAGTCATAGCGGAGATGGCGCTGCCTGTAGAGTAGGGGGGGCTGCCGCTTCCATGACTGTAGGAAGAGAGGAAGTCAAGACAAGGGGTTGGAGGTGAGATCTGGCATGTGGGGAGAGATTTTGCTTAACTGGTGTCTTCTAGCTGATGCTCTACACAGTCGATGACTTCCTTGCCGCTCGAGGTAGACTGGATTGTCGCTTCCGGGCTTGGTAGAACTGAACACTTGCTTTGAGGAGATCGTGGGAGCAGATCTGGAGAAGAGAATGCTTGGAGAGAGAGAGAGAGAGAGAGAGAGAGAGAGAGAGAGAGAGAGAGAGAGAGAGAGAGAGAGAGAGAGAGAGAGAGATGCATTGTTGGCCGTTGGTTGAGGAGACAGTTGTTGGGAGAACAGAAGGGATTGGAGAAGAAAAGCCCGGAGTTGGAGGGGGAGAAAATTGACTTTCTTTTTAAAACAGGACATTATGCTCCTGGCTCCTTATCCATTCTGGGGAGCATCAGTCCGGTTCCTATTCCCCCGGCAAGTCAAGAATGAATACATCAATATACACGCTCACACTTCCTTCCGTATGGCCGAAGGACCCCTGACCAGCATTGATTACTCCTTGAAGGAGGATTGACTGTCAGCTTGCCTGTCCCTTAGTTCCCTCTCAGATTCCATATTGAAAACTGTCAGATACTGCATTTAAAGCAAGGAGAAGGGAGATAAGCAACTGACTGGATCCTGGACCGCCTCTTATGCCACTGGATTATCCCATTGGTATTGGTAGATTCTGCAGCTCACTGATTGTTTCCCCGGACAGCAGACAGCCGCTTGGTGAGTGGTTCCCAAGAGGTCTCGCGTACCCCTGATATCTTGTTGTTCCTTCTGGAAGGAGCCTCTCGTTCCTCAGGGGGTAGCTGAATTGTGCCAGTCTTTCCATCTGATTTGTAGGGCGTGAATGTCTGCTATCTTTCCCTGGACCCGCCACACACTTCTGAACTTGGCTATCATTTCCTGTTGTTTGTCTGGGTCCTGCTGAATTTGAAGCTTGACCTTCTTCCACTGGCAACGGATGTCAGTCTCCATGAGGATTTTTGTTGATGCCCATACTTGTTCCGACGGTATGCTGGAGTTGTCAATGGTCCGATTGCACCTTTCCTTCCATATTACCCACAGTGTCACCTTTCTGATTATCCCGAACCATATGCGCTCCGACTTGTTGAATTGTGAGGGTTAGTCCATAGGAGTAGCTGGATGGGGTGTTCAGGTAAGGGAGAAGGAAATAAGTGGTCCCAGAGAGCTGCAGCTCTCGCCCATATGTCAGTAGCAAAGCTGCAAGTTATCAGACAGTGTAACATGTCCTCTTGTTCGTTGTCAGAGCATATGGCGCATTGTTCTGAATTGTTAGGGTCACTGTTTCGCATGCGGACGTGTAACCATGTGTTCACTGGGATGGCATTGTAGGTGATTTAACCATTGAGGACTTCTGATTTTGACTGGACGAATTGATTTGTATTTTCTCCAAGGAAATTTGGGGATTGGTTCCATTCTCTGACCAAGCAGTTTGGTCCATCTTCCCTTGATAACCGGTTCCGGGTCCTTCGTTTTTTTTTTTGTTTTTTGTTTTTTTTTTTGTTTTTTTACAAAACAGAACCTTACGGTTCTGGCTCCTTTTCCATTCTGGGGAGCATCAGTCCGGTTCCTATTCCACCGGCAAGTCAGAAATGATTACAAAGGATACTCACACACGCTCCTCCCCTTTATGGTAGGAAGGCCCAAATCACGGCATTGATTGCTTCCCACGGGAAGGATGTACCATCATTCGCCCCTGCCTAAGTTAGCCTATTTGACGTAGTCTTGGGCTTGTAAGGCCTCTCAGGGTAATGGACTCTGTAATGGGGTATCTGTCTGTTGGACTGTCTGGGCTTTCCTAGTACTGCCTCTCAGCTGTTGGGCTGTCAGATCTGTGTGTATTACTGGTAGAGCTAGGTCTGTCTTCCTCAGTCTCTCTAGCATATGCGCCATTGTCTCTAAAAGGAGCACATCCGATGGCCTTGCCGGGTTGCATCTTCTCAGCACACCTCCGTGTCCCTTGTTGGAAGATTTAGGATATACCCTAAATCCAAAACCCTTCCTCTGTGTGTCAGACCTCCAGTGTACAAAATTGTACCTTGACCTGTGTTGTTCGTTTCCAGCCCCCCTGAGAGAAGGACGTCCCCAGGTTTGAGCTCCCTTGATAACCCCTGGTCAAAAATGGTCCTGCTCTCTCCCTCGAATCCTCTCAGTTCGTGATCCCTGGTCCCTTCATGTGTCCCTTTCCTGCTGTTGAGAGCTAGGATACAAGTCTGTCCTGTAGGGTTGTCTGATCTGTGTATGAATCCTGCTGGAACTAGGTCTGTTCTCCTCAGTCTCCCAATCGATGTCCTTGCCGGGCTTCGTCTTCTCTGCACCCTCTCTGTCCCTTTGAGAGGGCTTAGGAAAAACCCTAAACCCTAAACCCTTCCTCCGTGTGACGGCCCGCCAGTATAAGAAGTTGTGCATTGACCTGCCTTGTTCGTTTCCAGCCCCCCTGCAAGAGGGTCGTCTCTGTGCTCCCTTGATAGCCTCTGGTCAATGGTCCTGCACGCTCGCTTGAATCCTCTCAGAACGTGTCCACTGGTCCCTGGAAATGACCTTTTCCTGATGTAAAGGGCTAGGCTACAAGTATGCCCTGAGGAGATGCCTGCTGGTGAAAGCCTCTTTCTGAGACAGAGTTGTGCCACTCCCTCCAACGTATTCGGTCATCTCGTAGATCTGCAATCTTGCCACTTATCAGCCAGTCCCTGTAGAATTTCTGCCTCTCTTTGTTACGTTGTTCTTCGTCATCAGTCCAAACTTGTTTTATCTTCCGCCATCTGCAGAGGATCTCCGCTTGTATCAGCGTTCTGGTTTCTATCCACACCTTCTCCCGTGGGTTGGATCTCCCCTCGATTGTTCTGCTGCATCTCTCCTTCCAAATGACCCATAGGGTCACTTTCCTGATGAGTTCAAACCAGATCCTTTCTGCCTTTTGCGCCTGGACAGGGATGTTAGTCRAGAGGAGAAGTTGGATGGGCTGGTCGGGGAAGGGAGAAGTGAAGAGGGAGTCCCMGAGTGAAGACGCTCTGACCCAGTATTCCGTAGCCTCTTTACAGCGCATCAGGCAGTGAACTAAGTCTTCTACGACACCTTCCGTGCAGATTGTACATAATTCCGAGCTGTTGGGGTATGTGGCCTTCCGTCTGATATGTAGCCACCGGAAGGGCTGCGTAAGCAATCAGCCACTGCAGACTTCCTGTCTCTTATACACATCTAGATGTGTATAAGAGACAGGTACATAATTCCGAGCTGTTGGGGTATGTGGCCTTCCGTCTGATATGTAGCCACCGGAAGGGCTGCGTAAGCAATCAGCCACTGCAGACTTCCTGTCTCTTATACACATCTAGATGTGTATAAGAGACAGGTACATAATTCCGAGCTGTTGGGGTATGTGGCCTTCCGTCTGATATGTAGCCACCGGAAGGGCTGCGTAAGCAATCAGCCACTGCAGACTTCTAATCTTGATTGGCCTAATCGTTTAAATTTATCCCAGTGGATTCGTGTGATTTTGTCTGCTTCCTGCCCAACGAGTTTCCGCCATCTGTTTTTGATAGTGGGGTCTGGATTTTTTGTCTTTAGAGACAGTCTGTACCCCAGTTTAACTGTGTAGTCTTGAACTGGGATTTTGGTCTTTATGTTGCAGACCTTGCTTGGTGGCCATGCCCATTCGGCTGGATCGAACTCCAAGTCGCAGATTGTAGTATCAGGCCTGTATATTGATTTCGGCCATGCTCCTAGGACCCTTACTTTTCGAAGTAGGAAAAAATCTAAGACAGACGACTCAACTTCACAATTAGGGATATTCGGCGAACCCGTGTTGGAGGAGGAGATCGGGAAAGAAAGGAAGGTTGCCTTAGTGCGTGAGCCCTGCTGCCAATGAGAGAATTGATAGGCTCACGGGGGTGTTGTTTCTTGAATCATTAGTCCTCACTCACCCGGTCTCCAGGGCTCCTTTTTTGCCAGAATATCCTTCCATTCCTGTGGGATGCAGCTGAGTAAGAATTGGAGATTAGTCCCTTGTCTATGGCAGCCTTTCAGACGGGGGGTGATTTCTTGTTCTGTTACCCAACCCTTTCTATCTTCCACCCATAAGTGG